AAGCACAGTGGGTGGGGAACACATTTCACATCTGGCACGACAAGTTTGTATCTGCGTCCGCGTGTGCTGCATGGCCCTCGTAAGTACAGCATTGGCCTTAACATGGGGAAGTCACCGAGATGTAGAATACGGTAGGTCATAATGAGGTCGACTCGCAACCGACGGTAGGACAAGGTGTAGAGTCCTAGTTTCTCGCACCGGTCTTCATACCCAAAGCCACGTAAACTCGGGATAAGCCTGGTAGCAACGTGTTGGACCCGTTCGATCTTTTGTGCCTCGCCTCGGGTAATCGGAAAGTAGGCGGGCGAACCGTACTCTAGCATTGGTCTAATGATAGAAGAGAACAGGCGGGTGGCAACCTCTTCAGACCATGTGCCGAAGCTACGTTTGAGCGCCCAAAGCATGCGCAGTCCGTTAGGATATAGCTTGTTCGTGTTGTCCACGGACTTCAAATCGTAGTGTGAGAGTACACCTAGGTCCTTCACGGAGGGTGTGGGATATAGCGTTTGGCCGTCAAGGGTGTAGTTTCGGTCGTTAGCATCCTTCCTCAGGCTCATAAATACAGACTTGGCTGGGTTGACCGGGAGAAGAGCTTCTGCAGACCATGTGGATAGGCGGTTGAGGTCTTGCTGAAGTAGGCCACAGTCATCGGGAGCGTCAATTTCTCTCCAAATCTTCATATCTTCCGCAAACATGGCACACGGCGACCGGAGAAGCTGCGGTAGATCGTTGATGTGGATCAGGAACAGAGTGGGCCTCAGCACAGTGCCTTGAGGCACGCCACTTGTAGAGGGGTACCAGTCAGTTAGATGGTCGTCGACCTGTACCCTCCACTTTCGTCCAACAAGAAAGTTGCGGATTCACCGGTGCAATGAGCCACCGACGCCACACATGCTGAGTTTGTGAAGGAGAACCTCATGACTGACCTTGTCGAACGCTTTACTGAAATCGATGAATATCACGTCGACGGACTTCCCCTTGTTTATTGCCTTCAACCACTCATGTCTCGTCACAAGCAGGTTCGTAATGCATGAGCGACCTTGCATAAAACCGTGCTGTGCGGGTGCCAGGACCTCGTTTGACTGTAGCAATTGCAGCAATCCCTTCTTCACGATTTTCTCAGCAACCTTAGCCAAAATAGGTGTCAGACAAATTGGCCTGTAATTGTCTACTTTGCTAGGGTCGCCGCCTTTCGGAATAGGCTTCACCACCGAACATTTCCAGTCAACCGGCAACAAACCTGCGGACAGCGACCTGTTGAAAAGGTCAGTCACGACAGGAGAGAGGATGGTTGAAAGTGACTTGAGAACCAGTGGGTGAAGCCCATCAGGTCCGGCAGGTTTGGTGCTGTCAAGGTTGGCGAGTAGTTGAGCTACCTCTTCAACGCCGCAATGCAAACTATCGAGTTCGGTAAAAGCGGTACACGTCGAACTCGGAACAGACACCTGGTTATTCACAAGTACAGAAACGAAGTGCGCCGCCAACGCGGACGCACGCTCAGAGCTGGAGGTTAGGGGCTGTCCATCCGTGCCATCCAGCACTGGCACATCACCCGCCGGCTTCAGGCGTCGCTTCACGTATGCAAAGATTCTCTTTGGGGCGGTTTTCGCGGCTAATGCGAGCTGCTCTTCAAAGTGTCGGCGTTTATTCTTTTTTGCACTGTTGCAGAGATGCCGGTGACATTTATACCCTTCGTAATCATTGGCAGAGCCAGAGAGAAGGAATTTGTCCCACAGTCTGCGCCGCCTCCGAGCCAGGCTTCGATACTCCTTGTCAAACCAATGAGGCTTAATCGGTCCAACCTTTCGACATTTCAATGGCACAAATTGAGAACACAATGATGTCAATCTCTCTTTTATAAATATCCAACAATCTTCCACAGATGTAGCTTGTGACAGAGACCATTCCAGTTTGCTCGCGGCTCGAGCTAGACCATCGAAGTCCGTTTTCCAGTAGTTGGGAGCTTGTCGCAGCGGATGTGAATACGGCAAAGATAATTCCATATCTGCTATCAGTACTGAGTGGTCGCTGGTAGCCAGGGGCTCCAGAATCCTAATGTTTCGCACTCGTTGTTCGTAGCTCGTTAACATCAGGTCGAGACAGGACGGGGTTGAACATGTTGATATGCGTGTTGGCTGGCATTTGTGTTGCGATGCACCAGTTTCAAGTACCAAATCCACGAACTTTGCTTCAACCTCACTATGTCCAGGCATCAAATGTACATCAGGCCATCGTATTCGAGGACAGTTAAAATCGCCCATAAGCAGAAAGTGTGGACGACTCATGTGGGTCCGAAGAATGGGCAGCCAATCGAAACAACGACTCAGAGGACTGCGATAAACTGCGCCCACAAGCAGTTCTCCGCGCCTGAGACGGATGGAGCACCACAGTAGCTCACACAGACCATCGTCACATCGGTAGGTGCTCACAAGTCTCCCACGCAGGGAAGACCGGATGTAAGGTAAGACACCACCGTGGGCATTTTATAGTCTATCGCATCGGAAACACGAGTAACCGTTGACTTCAAGTTCTTGGGTGTATAACTCTGCATGCAGCCATGTCTCTGCGAGTCCCACTACGTCTGGCCGCTCAGACGCAACGAAACAACAAAGCTCATCGCGTTTATTCATAATACTGCAAACGTTTGTGAAGGCAACTCGCAGGTCGCAGCAGGAGCCACCGGGCGTGCTTGAAGTGTGAGCAGCCTGTTTATCCTGATTCGCGGATTGTTGGAAACCACCCGAAAATTTACGATACGAAGATTTGTTTCCCCCTCACCAGTGCGTCTTTTCAGCTCAATGATGGCAAACTTGAGCCGCCCCCTGTCTACTGGGTCTAGGTCGGGACGAACACGGATTTTCAAACCTTTCAGTCTAGTTAGGCGGGACATGATCAGTCTTGGACTGGCTTCGTCCACAAAAGTGATTCTCATAGGCCGATTTTGTTGATCACCTTGCTTTCCAAGACGGGTAATCTGCCTCACTTTTACCGAGTCCTCACCAACGTCGAGGAGTCTATCAATTAGACCCTGTAAAAACTCGACATCGTGATCGTAGCGCACTTGGGGCGATGGATCACTGGACTCCGGTGCGTGAAAGATCACGAGATTATAACGCCTCTGGTCGGACGAGGTTGGCCTTGCAGGGCGAAGTATACTACCAGCCTCAAGTGGTTTGGCTAACTGTTGACTTACAGAACGTAAACGCCCAACGTTCCTTCGTAATTCCGTCCTCTGTTCTTTCCACTGGTCTTCAGCATTCAGACTTTCACCTGCTGGGACATCAGTGTCCGTTGGACACAACAAAGGTAAACAATTTAGGTCAGGTGCAACTGGGCTTCTCACAACGGTTGGACTTCGTGTCGGTAAGTTTGCACGGGTAGAGGAGGAGGACTGAGCAGAAACCTGAAGGCCCTTCGCGCTAGGTTGTTGGGCCAAACACACGGAGCTGTTCGCAGTGAAACGCTGAGGCCTACACGTCGGCTTTACTCTTTCTGGCTGTATCTTATTTCGGCAATTTTCACATATAGTTTGGACGAAATCGTGTTGGATCTCGCGAAGACGATGAAAATGCTCAACTGATAATCCAACACATGAAATGTGGTATTTAACTTGGCACAAAACACACGTGAGGGCATTTGCACGGTATCCAACTAGTTTGGAGCAAGTACCACAGGATGACTGCTTCGGCATTGTGAATAATCTGAAAACAAGATGGCGGCCAATTGACGGAGAAAATGGCGATAGCAAGATCGCCGAAACCAAGCGATGAAAACTCCAGTCTTTCTGGTCGGAAATTTCAGAATAGGAAATGAAACTGAATTGTATCTCAATTTCCACGAAATACTTCCAATGAACGCAGAAAGTCAAGACAAGGTGATCTTGCCGGGAGTTTCGCTTTCGGAGCGCAACAATCAGCACATCTAAACAGAAGGTTTCCACTGGATGATAGCATATTGTACTGGTTCGCGCGGAGGCCGGTACAAATTTCGTGATACCAGCGGGAGCAAACATCACACTGCATACCACCAGATGAACTCGTAACTGGACTTGAACAGGCATAATTGCTGCAAGCTGCATTTGACTCCTCAAACGAGGACGCAAGGTGTTCATCCGCCTTGGTTTTTCGCGAGACGACCTTGTTTAAGTGGAAAACAGAACAGAATTTAAAAACACGTACACAACTGTAAAACGACAACAATAAAAAGGTAAAACATGGTGCAAAACGGGATTAACAAAGGAAACAATCGCAAAATGGCCAGTAAGCCTCCGGAAAGCGCCTTGGCCAGTACCACTTTAATCGATCCAAGATATCTCGAATCAGAGGAAATTTGCTAATAGTCAAATTTCGTTTCAAGTGTTTATTCAAGCACTCTTTTCCACCGCGACACCTGAACCTTGTCCGAGAATTGAGCGATCGAGCATTCCTCAACTACCAGTCTTGTTCTATTTTCTCTTAGCGTTCATACTACCCCGACGAAGTATTGGCACCATAACCCACCTTCCACAATGTGGTAGTGAAATCGGTCGTTATGCATTGTACATATATTTACATGAAGTGTGTTTCAATAACAAAATGATCAACGAAGTAGATATTCAAAATGAGCACCGTCGTTTCGATTGCAGCGCAGTATTCGCCCGATGTTATTGGCTAGAACTTACTGCAAAGTGTCCACCGACATCCCGCGACAATCGTTGATTGTAGGATCCCAACTGACTGCACACTGAGTTTCTGGCTCCGGTACTTCCTTGTCAGTTGAAGTGGCTATCTTTCTTGGCTGATTGATTTCGACTATTCCGCTTAAATGAAATGTGTAACAGTATACTGAGCGTCTGGTTCTGCTCAATCAACACAACTACACGGAAGACAAACGGCAACAATCTTGTGTGCTAACGGGCCTTACTATCGCCTCATCGTAAACCATGCCAGCGATGTTTTCTCGGCACAGTGTCTCAGACGGCTTGTAGATCAGTCCATTGGTTGATGTTCCCGGTCGATGGTTTTAGCCTGACCAATCAGGCGACCGACAGAGGGCGATGACGTGAAACGGATTCGCCTAAATGTCGTGGGTTGATCGTTGCTATCGGAGTTTGTGCGGTTTATGACCATGACGGACTCTGCGGTAAAGACTGCGCTCTCCGAGTTTGCTGTTGATTTATATGCAAAAGTGTTGGCATGTCAAAAAGGTAAGCCATCTTTATGTTTCATTCCCTGAAGATGATCTGGAAAACACCTTCCTTTCACCAGTAAGCATTTACACTGCGTTGGCAACAACCATGGTCGGCGCGGGTGGTGAGACGCTGCGTCAGATGCAGCACACTTTGTGCATTCCCGGGAGTCTGGGCGACGCTGAACTGCACAACTCTGTTGGATCGATAGTTCGAAAATGTTTTACCGGCTCAGACAATCTCGATCTTTCTTTGGCAAACCGACTCTTTCTTATCCACTCTGCTGCAATAGAACGACAGTTTTCTAATACTGTGTCTAAGTGCTATGGCGCAGATGCCGAAGTGGTAATTCCTACCATACTGTACGGTGCAGCCGTTCAGCTTAGTTCATTTCCAGATTTAGAGGCCAAGCGAAAACACATTAATGCCTGGGTTGCTACAAACACAAAGGACAAAATTAATGAGCTCATTCCCTCTGGAGCGCTTCAGCAGAGCACAACGCTAGCGATAGTAAACGCACTATATTTCAGAGGTCAGACCACATTCACTTTTGCTATATAATACTGCGTTTGTCATACAGGTTCTTGGGAATATGCGTTTTGTAAGGAGGCCACAATGGAGAGGGAATTTCACTGTTTAAATGGATCCAGCCGAAAGGTTCCGATGATGTACAAAGATGTAACCTGTCCGTTCGTTGAGTTGCATGAGGAGGAGGCAGTAGCCGTAAAGCTCCCATTCAAAGGCGGCGAGTAAGTTGAACGTGACTAAATGGTTTTCTATGCTTAGTACTCGCTACGCAAATGACCGGCGTATGCCCCACAGTCACCTCGTCTGCTATCAAAAAACTGTTCATTTTATTGATATCTTGTGGAATTGTAGAATTGAATGAGTGCAGATGTGTGAATCAGAATCTTTCCCTTCCTGCTCCAGATGGGAACTCTTGGTGGTGTTACCGAACGAGAAAGATGGCCTACGAAAACTTGCACGCAGTCTAATGCTACCTGGAAATCTTTCTTCGATCTTGAGAGCCAAGTTTGAACCAACGAAGATTGATCTACACCTGCCTCGGTTCAAGCTATCGCATACCAATCCACTGAACGTGATTAAGCTGCTGGAGCAATGTGGACTACGTGCCTTGTTTGATGCGGATTCCGCTGATTTGAGCCATTTGTGCAGCAGCCAAAAGTTGTATGTATCTGAGGTTTGGCACAAAGCTGTTTTGGAAGTGAGTTCATACGACAAACTAACTTGTTTATTGAGCTGTCGTCGGAGCACTCGCTTTCGTCTTTTTAATACATTTGACTCTACCGACTTCTCTGTTTGAGAACATCAGTAGCATGTCGACGGCCTCAATGCCTCGCAGCTGATGACAATCACGTAAGCTCTTACCACTTATCGGCTCTCAAGGTCATCAGCGTTGCACAGACGATGAAGAGCAGCACTCAATAGCTAAATGCACAGCTGCAGCACAACTGGTCGTCAGTCAACGCTATCCCACTTCCAGTGCCCTCTCTCTGGGCTTCTCATCCTAAACATGCCACCGGTACTGATTCTGAGGTACCGCGATGCACTCAAACGACCTGCTGCGAATTCAGACTGCTCGGGGTCGGATTTTCCACAGCGTAATTGTGCACTAAGATTTGGACCGTACTACGCTGGTGACAGCGAGTTCTTCTACCAAAATCACCGAAATGTTCGTTGTTCTACCACACCGCTGCCGCGACATAGAATACATTGATTCTCTTTGTAATACGATTGACTCAGTGGCGCGCCACTCTCTGCTGTCACGGTGCTTCTCCAACGCGTACGCACACTATTCACACAACAGAGTGGCTATTAGGTTCAAACCCATCCGAGTAAGAAACCATAATCGCAGGACTATCAACAGGTATTCGCACAAATGACTTCGTGTTTATCTATAGTCCATTGCACCACCATTGGAACAGTTCTTTCCAACGGAATTCGCCCCAACTTACGTTCGTACATGGGCGACCCTTTCATCCAGCATGCCTTGTACTTGCTCAGTGAGTGACGTCACCCACTCAGCTGAAATGAGACCGTGTTTTCCAGCTCAATAATGATGACTACCATGAGTTGGAGACGCGTTCGACTCTGCAACAGAAACCGAATTTCGGAGTTTCAGAAGTTTAGTATACAAGGGAATTGTCTATTGTCTATATACCCATCAGGCGGCACAGAGCTCTCTTTTTGCCCAAATTCCACATAACTGTTGTGGTCTTACATTGCGGAGTAATATACTTTGATCACGGCATGTGTTGACTCCCAGAGAGGTGCAACGTACGGGTAGAATTCCTAACTAGATGGTTAATCTATTACCGGACGAATATCGGTGTGTCACATTGCACCTTGCTTCCATTGGATCAATATGGGCAACACCACCTAAAAGCTTCACTCGCGTTTGCATTATCAAACACATAGTCAATGTCTACTTCTCTCCTATCTCCCTGCATTTCTCAACAGGTTGACGAAGAAGGAGCGACCGCCGCGGCTGCCACTGGGTTTGGGATCGCCAAGTATTGTTTAATGCTGAAACCAGTCGTTTGCGTTGATCATCCCTTCTTGGTTGTCGTTCTCAACGAACAAACCACACCAGTGTTCGTGGGTCATGTGACAGATCCGGAAGAATAGTGACCCTGTGGAGTATCACAAGTGCGCTGACCTACATGCTAACCCGTTTTCCATATCATCCAGGCCCAAGTTGTCTGGCACACACTCGACCTGTCTTGCTTTGACGTTCTTTTTCGATTGCGACCGAAGCGTCTACTTTGTTTTCCTTGTTCCTCACAATAAATCGTTTTACTCGATGAGCAACATGAAAACCAGTCCATCCAGTGGAATTCATCGAATCTTGGTCTAACCAAACCGTAGCTGATCATAAGGGTTAGAAGACTAGATAAGCACTGCTTTCTTTCCAGGCCAATCGGTTGCATTCCTTCCTTCGACTCGATGAGGATTTAGACCCTGGATTCCCGCGCTTACGACGCAGAACCTGATTACGCCGGGTCGAAGGAAACACTGATAGTCGATGTAGCTGAAAAACTGTTTGTGACGTAGCATGACCCATGTGCCATGGCATACTGCGTTGACTCGTCTTCCCTAAAGTCAGTTAACCCTGGCACTTCAGACCATCACCGCTGGAAAGCGAAGTCGCACATCCTAACCAAACTAAGTGTGTTGCGTCTCATGGCTGATGCAATATGGTTGGCATGTGAATTACACATAAATGCTTCTAATAGGACCCAGCAACATGTTCAGAACTAATGAAGTGATTCCGACTACCATTTCGACTGCTGCCTCTTGCGGCCGTAGTAGCAACCGACCTGTTTCTAAACACATGCCTGTCTTGTTGTCTGACATTCCCAGAGAATCTCATGAAAGTCACACTGACTGATTCGCTGATGGCAGTCATGATCGATTCGGGGACATGCCAAGCACTCCTTAAGCAGGTCTACTATTCGTGCGAACATGAATTCTGGTAGCATTAATCCAAAGCCTTTACATAGCTCGATGGCTGTAGCTGCAATCTAAACCAAGAGTGTTAATGTATGGAAATTTCGAACAAGTGTATCAACAAACGTAGGTTACGAGATGACACCATATTGTGCGTTAGCTTCAATCACACAGAACCACTAACAGTCACAAGAATGGCAAGACCACGTCAAATCGACCAGCGTCAGGCTGCCTTCGTTGTAGGAGAAAGACACCCGCTTCTTCTCTCGTTTGTTCGTATGTATGTCTGTACCATAGCCATAGTCATGACTACACGTATTGGCTTGGGGCACACGAATTGCAGACGAGTTCCCAGGAACGTGACCTTGACGTGCTCGTGCAGAATGACCTCAGTTGTTCTAAACAATCTGACGCAACTACGAAAAGATGCATCCAACACGTCGGCCTGCTGCGAAGAGCATTTGGGAGATCCGATCCATCAATCTTCCCAATGATGCGCGATTCCTATGTGCGCCCTCCGTTTGAATACATTATTCAAGCTTGGTAAGCTTGGTTTTAGCGTGACCTAGAGATGCTAGAGGTACCACAGTGTGTGCGAAAGAAGTATTCTTACCTGTGATGGCTGAAGTTGCTGGGAGTTTTCAGCGGACGCTACCGATGGCTGCGAGGTGGTTTCATATTAGAATAGCAAATATTGAATGACCCCACACACGTATGCCGTTATTTGCAGAAACTCAACCACAACACCAAACTAAGTGGTAACTACTTGAAACTGAGTGAGCAGTACAGGCGTCAACAGTATAGACGGAATTACTTTTCCCTTTAAGTTTGCCAACCCTGGAACTCCCTCCTAAACTCAGTTGTAACCTCCCCTACTTTGAACATTTGCAAAAAACGGTTGAATGTTGCTCTTAGCTCGCAACACTTCGTTACCTAAAGTGCGCTATTGTAGATCACATTAATTATGCCCTTCTACCGGATTTATGTGTCCAATGGACCAAAGGAGGCGTCGCATTAGTGAGCGAGCATATTTTAGTTTTCTCATGCTTTACGTCAACGATCACTGCATCCAGGGTACTTCTATAAGAGTAGATTCAAAGTTATTTTCTACTAACCTCGTATTTCTCTCGATAGACACCTGGCAGATGACTCAAATATATTTTGCTTTCCTTGTCTTCACCCCAGCCACTCTACGGGACGTGTCATGCATCTGCTTTTAACCCGTAATAAACCATTGTTCATTGTGTAAAGGCCTCGTGATTGCTGAGGCAACCTTGCTCCTCGACTCAATTGGTTCAATGATTATGCGTTTGTACAACCACTTCGGAATGTGTTCATCGAATCGGACTCCCAGACTCCGATTAGTTTACCCAGCGTAGCGGTCTCCACATATACAGTTGTTGGTGCACCTATTGTCTGAGCGGAACCCGTGTCCGTTTATCCCGCAAATCGTGTAACGTTTGGACAAGCTCGCATCGGGCTTACACGGGTTTCTGACTCTAAGGTCCAGTTATGGAATCAATTATAGAGACTAGTACATCCATTACTGCAGAAACTATTGGCAGCTTCGTCCATCCGGTAAGGTCATGGAATCGGTAGACACCACGTGAACAGCTAGATCAACAACTGGCATATAACGAAAGGATAGACAAACACACATTTGCTCGTGCAAATGCAGCAAATTGAAACGAGGATGCAACACAAGTGCCACATGCACCGACAAATCCGAAGTGTTTAATAAATGATGTATCTTTTGGATATGGTGATGCATATTTACTTAATTTCCAGATTGCCAGGGCAAAGTTTACTTTCATGACCACGTTGATGACGTACCAGGTAGGCTCGATTGAAGCGTGTGCGGCCGCGTCGGCCCCAGCACCAGGTTGGTGACGACGACAGCGAGCTAATAGCAACCCAGGTTAAACACTTGCGTCAGCGTACCCACTTAGGCAATAGCATTATTCATATAGTCTCAGCGTTGCTTATGCCGCAGTGACATCAAAGTAACCTTGATCATGCCCTGACAGTACAGACTATGTATACATGGATTTCTCCTCTCAAACGCACTTAGCCATACCATACCCATCCGTTTGGCGGACATTGCCAAGGCAGTTAAGTGTAGCGTCCCCAACTAGCTTCAGTGTCCTGAGCTTTATGTCGTCAAGGAGCGAGCAAACATCGACAACGATATAATCATGAGTTGGAGATTTTTGTTGTAAATCGATGTGGATTTCTTTGTAGCGGTTTCCAAACCATATAGTCCTCACCTGCCAGGAACAGCACCAGATGGCCCTTTCGTCCTGTTGGATCCCGTCATTAGTGCGTATCGATCGGATCCAACGGGATCCGAACCCATGACCGCTAGCGACTTGCATCGTCAACCAGCCGCTTATGCCACTGAACGATGGGGACAGCAGCGGGCCATCATGATTTACAAGCTAACTGTAGTATGATCCGTCTCCTCCTCCATTACTATGCAATTTACGGACGTTGTTGTGAAATGCTTGACCCCGAGACACAAGACTTCCGTTAACACTTGTCATGTACGACATAGCATTTATTAATATACCCAACATCGTATTATCATACAAAAGTGCGCAGATGTCTTGCCACAGATCCTTCAGCGAACTATGCTTGTAACGGTGCCTGTAATCTAACAAGTATACAGCTTTGAGGTTATTTTGAGTGGCAGCTGACCGGCAGGATTAGCCAGCTTAGTGCACACATCCATCTGAACCATCAATAGGAACACCGCTTCATGGAGTGCGGACGATGCGAAATTTCGTAACGCGTGGAGGCCGATCCACCGCATCCGTTCTTGATCCTAATTAGGTCCACCAAATAGACCAGGGCAACTGTGGATGGCTCGGTGCAGTTCAGATACCGAAGCAAACCACTGCAGAAAGTATCCAGAAAGCAGCTCCAGCGATAGTTCACTGTGCCGTCGCCAAGCATACTGGCGCAGCCGAGGCGGGATAGTTGATCTTCTTCGTCAAATCACAGAACCGAAACAACTCTTTTTCTCGAGCACAAGGCTGGAGGTACACAAAAGTTGAGTTGGCAAAGGAAAATGAAAGCACTGACGACCAAGCTGGATGCTGCTGGGTCATCTCACCTTTCAGGCTAGAGTCCACACAACTTACCTCGTGTACGGCCTTAAACTACAGGATATGTCTCGCACTTGGCGCCAGTGGCGCGTCTGCTGTGGTCTCGTAGCCGGACTGCCTATTTAAGGTGTTTGATGCGGAGTTATCTGCAGGAAAAGAGGTGATTACGATTCGGAGTAGTGGAAGCCGCAAACTATATCGCCAGTGCCGCCTTAGCTACGAAGCATAACCAGTCGTTTGGGACCATTTGTAGATGACAAAGTATAGGCGCCTAGATTCTAAGTGTTTGCCTGAAGTATCAAGGTTATACGCTTGGTACCACTTATCTCCCGCGTACTCTTCTTCGTTCCTTCGGTTACTGCGGCTGTAGGGGAGCGAAGCGCAAATGAAAATTACCGGTGTGTTGCTGCTGATGACGACCGGATCAGATCTCTCTTAGTAGTTAAAACGATTGTGGATTCTCGTGCGTTTTGCCTCCACCCTTCAATCTCGGGATTACTTGGAGAACGCTTGGAACGTCATACAAGCGCGTAAAAACCTAAAGCTGGACAACGGCATTTCCAAATGCTCCAGGATCTTTTCGAAATTTTCTCATCAACACCAGATGGATGATGCAGTCCCAGGTCTGGAATTTGCGTCGCTAGATGAAATAAAATAAATTGAATAATGCATACAGATACGGTGGCAGAACTCTTCGCTAAGTTACCATGTAAAATAAGTTGGTTAGCTACGTATCCGCGATAAGTAAGAAATGTCCATGGGTTATTTAGAAATACTACAAACGCAACAAAGTTACCGAAGATAAGCGCAATTAGCGTAAGCAACGTGGCCAGTTAATAGAACATTATTAAGGTGGGCAGAACAAACAAAATAAAGTGAAATGAAATGTATCCAGCTTAAAAAGACCTAGTTTAAGTGTAGGTTGGTTTAGCCCAACTGCGGGGAAGAAGCATCAACTATGCAACATCAGCCTTAGAATGGGGCACACATACATACATGGTTGGCGGCATCCGGTTTCGGATTTACCTGTCACTGTGGCCAGCCACAGCACGCCTGCGCCTACAGAGGGACCATGGGATGGCCTGCGCTGCACCACCCACAGCTCCAACCACACACCCCATATCCAGTGTAAACCCGAAGGAATAAGACCGAGAGGCATTTGGTTGGGAGCCACGTTTCATCAACGGAGCCGGCCCACACTCCTTCACAGACAAACACAAGCACGCTGTATTTGGGGAAT